TATGTTAAAAAAGAACGTCATTTTTTTGTTTTATTACGATGTCAAAAAAGGAAAGTTATTTTCATTAATCACGTTCTTTGTTTTTTCGGCACGTGTAATCCTTCATTTCAAAATTGTACATGTTTTTTAAGATATAAGAAGTGAAGAAAGTGTCATTAGTCAAGATAGACTTTGAATAGAGATTTAGAGGATTAAGTTTTGTTGGTTGTAGACTCATGTTACTATCAAGGTTTTTTGAATTCGAATTCGATAATGTTTATTTATTTTTTTGGCTCGAGCTCCACTACTATTCATTATATTTGCAGTCCTGATTACTATTAAGTTTTGTGAAAGGCGAATATAAAATGAATGTTTAATTATAAAGCGAGAGTTTTGCATGTCACACTTCGTACATTTAAAGTGTAATAGATGTCTTAGCAATGAGATAAATAAGCATAAGATAAACTATATAAAAGTTCTATGATATAATATTGATTTAATTTAACTTGATGAGTTCGTATTTCATGTTTCACATTTTAATCTCAAAGAGATTTTGTCTAATATAGTTTTCTTAAATCTTAAATTCTAGTAAGATATTATTATTGTGTTTTTTTTTCTAGCATCATCTGAATCTCGTTCACGTTCATCAAATCCATCGGGATCAACAATTAATGATGATAATAATGAATCAAATTCTTCACTTCAATTTCAACTTTCTATTAGTGAAGATGTTGATGATGGTATTGAAGTTGATGCTGATGATTCACCAAATGAAGATGATGATCAAGTATTTTGTACACCAATTGATAAAGATAAAAAATCAATAAATGAAATCTCATTACCATCTTCAAATGTAATTAAAGTTTTTTCTGTTTATAAAGATTTACATCAAGCACTTCATCATTTAAATAATAAATTAATTGCTACTTATGAACCTGAAACAATGCGTGGTGGTGGTTTATTAGTAAGTTTTCTATTACTTTTTTAATTTTCTATATATTTGTTTTTTTGGTTTTTTTTATAGAAATATTGTGATCTATTAGCACGAAATTATAAACCTTATGATTATGCTATAATGATTCATATGCAACGATATATGTGTTCAAGATTTTTTATTGATTATAAAACTATACCAGAACAAATTTATGTTATTGCACAATATGTTGCAACACATTTTTTACCATCATCAAGAATAAATAATTTACATATAACAAATAATTTTAATGAAATTTTACAATATCGTTATTATCAACAAAATCAATTAATTAATTCAAAATATGATTCAAAACAAATTGATCAAATTGATTTAATTAATGCACGTTTATGTTTATTATTTTTTGAACATTTAGCATCTATTATACAACAAAGTACTGTTTGTTTAACACATGAAGATAGAGAATTATTATTAATTAATATACATTATCTTAAAGAAAATTATCATTATGAATATGAACATTTATTTTTTGGTGATAATCAACATTTTCAAAAATATCATTTATTTAATACTATTCAACAACATTGTACAAATTCATCTTCAAATTCAAGTCGATCGGTATGTAAAATTTTCAACTATCGAATATTCTTTGACTATAGATAGTTAGTGGAATTCAGTGACTGTCAAAAATTATCCAGTTAAGAATTGTTGATATTTCCTAGAGGTAGAAGAAGTTGAAAATGCTTTTCTTGGACGAGAGAATCTATGGATGAGTCAATTCCTCTCACAATAAACGATCTGTCATTATCCATGGAAAAAGAATTCGAATAAAACCGCAAAAGCCACATCGTTTATTCGATCTTTAGTTCTTTTCATATTTCTATAATAATTAGTCTTCAGTTGCTTTTATAGGAAGTTTGTTATTAAAGGATATTCTTTATATTATGAAATCTACATCAAAAGTATTCATTACGCTTCAATAAAACGATGAAAAAAAAAAATAAGTAGTGGATATTTTTAGTAAAGCTATAATTAAAAACAAAGTACGCAATTAACGAGCATTTATATTTCAATACTGGGGAAGTATGAATCATTTAGATATATATCCGGCAAATTTTATTCCAAATAGATTCTTGTCAATAAAAACAAAAAAAAAAGAAAAGTTAACCGAAAGTATTGCATCAATATCCAACATATGAAGCTATCAATCTCGTTTTCTCTTATTCTAATATAAAAAATAATCTATTCTACTTTTATTACAGTATAAAAAACATCAATTTGAATACTTCACATTTAAAAATTTTATCTATTTATTATTATTTTTTTTTTTAGTCTTCACCATCGAGTTTATCATCAAAATCATATGGATTTGGTCGTGGAAATTCTCATCGAAATCATTATAGACATCGACAATCATCAAATTTATCATATCATACATCACGAAATTATACTGAACAACAAACATTATATAGACGACATCAATCATGATCAAAAAACATAAAGTCAATAGAAGAAATTTTCTCTTTTCTTTTTTTTACTTCGTACTTTTTTTTTCTATGAGAATCTAATTATTCATGTAAAACTTATTTAGAATTAATCATGATAACGAGAAATTTTTGTTTTATTCTTTTTGAAAGAAAATTAAAATATGTTTGAAACAAAACAAAAAAAAAAAATTATAAAAATTTTCTGAATTAAACAAAAAATACCACTCTCTCTCTCGCTCAGACGTGTTTTTCTTCTCTCAACTGTCCTTTGTTTTCGTTTTTTTTTTTGTTTTTTATATTGACAAACACATCTCTATACATGAAAAACAAAATGAAATTATTGTTTGTTCGTTTGTTTTGTTTTCCTTTTGACATTCCCCCCATTGAAATCGACTTTCTTGTCTTTTCTGTATTATAATGACGATTTATATATTGTCGTTTTTTCGTTAATAGTATCATTCCTGGTGATGATTCTTCAACACATATTTCTCAAAAACAAAAAAAAAAAAAAAAAACAACTTCGTTTTGCTGTGTGTCTTTCGCTCTTTTCGTTTCTTTATATTATTGTATAATACAGCGTGTTCTTCTTTTTTTCTGTGTACTTTGTCGTTTTCCTTATGTGTGTGTGTGTGTGTGTGTGTGAAATAAAAGACAGACAGGAGAAAAAAACCTTTAGTTGAAAGAAGAGCGGACTGATCAGGAAGAAGTGTTGTAAAAGATTATTAAAAATTTACGCTTGATTCTTCATAGTCTCGTTTGTTTCCATGGAGGAATGTTAGTGTAATGAAGTTCAAAGTTCTTTGACGGTTTGCTAGATTATTAATATTTATCTTTTAATAGCAAAGAACAAATTCCACATAAACTAGAAAAAAAAAAAAAGAAAAGCTAACACCACGGGATGTCAACATCAATTCTCGTTCTTTATCTCTGGCAATGAAATGAATACTGATAATTACAATAGAATCTCAAAAAAAAAAAGAAGAACCAAGTTTGAGAATCAGCTGAATTTATCCTATATATATATCTTAGTAATAGCCAAGAAGTGAACTAACATTTCTCTCCTGACTGAATCATCTTGCTGCTAATAAAATTTTGATTAATATATAACGGATAAACCTCATGATACAGAGATATGTTTTTTTGACACTCGATAAAATAAATCTGAAGAACATGAAAATTTTAGATCTCAAATAACATCTTCAACTTAATATTGTTTTCAATAGTTTTATATTAATAAAAATAAAACTTCTTTGCAGTTCAACAAAGAAAAAAAAATAAGTGAATAGATTAATTTATCATTCTTTTTAGTGTCCATAGGCTCAAATGTTATTTTATTCTTCAATTCATTATTGTCAATATTTTATATATTTATTTAAAGAACAATTTAGACATTGAAAGAGAACAAAAAAAAAATACGAGCTACATCGAAACAGATACCATGACGTGATAAACAGGGTTGTGTGTGTGTGTGTGTTTTTTTTGTTGTTGTTGTTTCGCATATGATTGTAATCATTCAATTAATAATACATTTTATTCAAATGAAGGCACAAATTCAGTATTCACACTTATATCTAACACAAATGGAAAAAACTCGGATTGAATGACAAATATATTCAGTTACTTAATTGAAATAAATGTATCATGTATTACATTTCTATATTGCATACATAAACATTATTTACATTGCAATACTAGAGACACAGCAAGAAATGATTTAAAAAAAAAAAAAAATAGATTAGACTTCTATGTGTATTATCAACAAACAAATGAATATTAAATAGGTTTAATAATAAAGATTGAAAAATTTATTAGTGTTTGATTTTTCTATTAAGAATATACAATGTAAATCATTATATGAATATACCCTACTATCCGAGATTTTCAATTTGATTTAAATGTTTTAATAAAAACAAAGTCACATTGAACTAAGTTAAAATATTTATTATTCTTTATTTTTATCATAACTAACAATCTTATCAGTGCAAATATTTTCATATTCTTTATCATGAACTTTAACTTTGTAGATTTTAAAAGAAAAAAAAAAAAAGAAGCCTAGTATATTTATTCTGGTTATATATAATATTGAAATTTATTATAAATTTGATGTATTGTAAAAAGTTCTTCTGGCTTATAAATGAGAAATAATAAAATCTTTTTCATAATAACATTGCTTTAATTAATAAAACATCAGCTCTATTTTGTTGACATTTTAAAAAATAAGAACAATATATAATATATATATATATCCTTGTCAAAAGAATAAAAGAACACAATTATAATTCATTAATAACTTCTTTTTTGTTTTAATAAAAGAAAAAAAAAAAAAAAAAAAAAGAAACGAGCTTCTATGAACCCATTTTGACATGTTTGATAGCCTATTCTATTGTGTCTTGCTCGCAAATAGAGCACTCCAGAACATATGTTAAGAGTCAAACAAAAGCAGACATGCATATAATATGTAAAGAGCACATTGATCTTGTCACAAACGTACAGACAAATAGTAACATTAGTGATCTGGATGGTATTCATCATTTTTTTTTCTTCTTAATGTGATACCATTGAAATTCAGCTGTCATTATTTGTTGTTTATATAGGATAACTTAAATTGAAATTCTTTGTTGTTTTTGTAAATTTACTTCCGATAAATGATTTGTCATTTGATGATTATATTGTTTAGGAATCAATGATTTTCGAACAAATGCTAATTTATGATTTTCTAATATTTGATTAAAATAAAGTAAATGTTTTATATTTTGAGGTGATCGACGTAAATGCCAATGTCGTCGTTTACGTTTTTTACAATTAAATAATGTATATCCTGAACAATAGGTTTCTTCATTTGAATTTTTAGTAAAATCTAATTCTGAATTTGATGATGATAATGACCACCATGAACGTGTTTTTATAGGAAAATATGATGATAATGCTTTCTGTTGATGAATTAAACTAGGATTCGAACAGATACGATTACGTTGTTGAACACACATCGATGCACGATGTTCAGCAATAGCAGCAGCTATAAGATCTTCTTCATTTCGACCGAGAACATCTGATATTCCACCAATACCATTTTCTGAATGAAATTGAGCTAAACGAAGTACCAATAGATTTAATGATGAAGCTACAATTGCTAGACCAAAGAGAATAAATGATATAGTATAAATAAAATATCCCCAACGTGAATAAAGTGATTGACCAGTACGTTGTAGACTAGCTAATGGAACAAGATCACCAAAGCCTATTGAATAGAATGTATTTTAAAAATTAATATGTTTATATATATATATATATATCTTTTAATCTTTTACTTACCAATTGTCCAAAAAGTAACAAGAGAATAATAAATCGATTCAAAATATGACCATTTTTCTTGTTTACAAAAAATAAATGAACCACCAAGTACTAACATTGTTGTCATGCCAAATTCGACAGCAATCAATTCAAAACCGGATACTTTATGACGACGGAAACCAAATAAACGTTTAAGACGTGATAATACAAATGAAATAATAGCATTCAATCGTTCGCCAACTGATTGAAACATAATCAAATTGAGAGGTCTATACAAAAAAAACAAAAATGTCAATAATAGACAAATATGAATATTTACATATACTTACACTCCAGCTACTGTATAAACCATACAAAATATTTTTCCACCCTCTAAATTTCAAAATTAAAAGAATTTTTATTTTGAACAAAAAAAGAAAAGAAGGAAAATCTAATGAATCATACTTGTTTTTGGTGTTGTATGACCATAACCTAAAACAAAAGAAAAAAAATCTATCAATTAAAATTCATTTCATATAGGAAATTTACCTATTAAAGTTACGACTAATGTTGAAAAATAGAAGGCACCAGGAAATGTCCATTGTTTAGTTGTACCAGTACGTACATGTCGATGGTCAAATATTGCTGATGTTAAAGTATTAAAAACAGTTTCATTTTGAATTGTATCATTTTTATATAAAATACGAGCCATTCTATATCTAAGTATAGCACGTTGACGAACTTCTTCTTTTGATTCCACTAAAAATAAACAATAGAAAATAATAAATATAATCTTTTGTTTTTTTTCACAAAAAAAAAAACAAACTTACAAGCATTAAAAACTGCAGCACCAAACATTAAATACATAAGCACAATGAACATAAGTGCACATGTGCGTACGTTTTGGGTACCGATAATCATTCGAAATATGATGGCTAATTAAGCCTGATAGTGAAATATTCTCATGACATTTGATAGAAGATAACAGGGATTATAATAATCTGATACTTTATCTTATCTAGATGACGACATTGATGTTAATAAAAGTCGAAAGTTTTAAAAAAGAAATTCAGATTTATGGACAATAAATAAATTTTTTCTTTTCTTTTTACTTAGCTCGTCTGTTTCGGTTGTGTCATTTCAAATAATGAAAAAGTGCCACTCTATTTCATCATCATCATCATCAACCGTCAAAGCAGCTAGACGGACACACACACACATAGAGAACAAAAGAGAAAGAAGAACGCAGAAGAAGAAGAAGAAGACTGGAGAGAGAAAGAGAAAAACGGAGAAGACACAAACTATTTTTCTTCGATTACTTATAGAACTTGTGACGATAGTGTTGTAAAAAAATAATAATGAAAACACTTTTCTCTCTTACTCATACAACATTCTTCATGTTGATGTTAGCAAGAATGATGATGTTGATCTTGTTGTATGTATGTTGTGTGCACTCCTTATTATGATATAAACACACAATAGATGACATTTTTTGTGTCAATTTAACTGCTCATATTTGTTTATATATATATATATAGACTATTCTTTATAATTTGGCATCTGTTGTCATATAATCAAACTCTATGCTCAATCAAATATATAAATAGTCTATATATTGATCGATTTATATATTAATACGAGTATTTATTTATTAGAATGATACAAGTTAAATTTTGAAGGATAATTTTCTTGGATTTCCGTTGTCATCATCCTATGTCTATTTTTGTTTTGTCTCAAGAGTACTTACACAATTTGGTTGTTGTTAGTAAAAAAAAAAAGACACTAAGTGTCATGTTGTCCATTCTAAATCATAGACCAAAGAAAACAAGATGCGATAGATAAACATAGAAAAAACACATTCACTGATAATGTGTAATAAAAAATAAAACAAAAAAAGTATATTTTCATTATGCATATTATCATTCAAATGTGTACGCATTGGCATATTTCTAAGTCAGTTATACTTAAAATAGTAAAATAATATTAAAATGATAAGAAAAAATTAGATTTTTTTCCATCACCACCTTATCAACGTTCGTAGTCAAACCAATTTTCTTTTTTTATTTCCACTAAGAGAACAAGATGCCAACGATGATGTGCTGAGCATTGTCAAGAGAAAAGAAACAAAAAATTGAATTGTCTCTTCTTCTATCTCTCTTTCTCACTGTCTTCTTCGACTATCTTATCGCTATTCCTTTCTATGAGCAATTCTACTGCACATAAGAGTTTCTTTTCTCGTCTTTAATAATTGAATTATCAAATATCTCGCGATCGCGTGTCTTAACTTATATTCATTGATGAGATACCTGGAATTCAACTATTCATAATAATTGTCTACTTAAAGACGTCCAAAGAAAAATCATCTGATCACACTTTTTTTTTTTTTATTATTATTCAACTGTTATTTTATCATCATTTTCTAAAGTCATATGGGAAAATGGCTAGTTTTGTTCATCGATGTCTTGCTTATGAACTTCATGTCATTTCCCAATGGAAACACACGTCTTTCTTATATTGAGTAAAATCGATCGACAATAAAGTATATGAGAAGCACACGTTCATTTGAGTATGCATGCTTGATTTTTGTATCGTCTAGCACAATCCGAATCTAGGATTATAAAAAAAATTTTTTTTTCCATCTATAAGCCTATTTTTTCTCTTCTATATATATATATATATGTTCTAAATCTATATAGTCTTCCAGTTAGTCAATCACAAACAAGCTTATTTTATAGTACTTTCATGTGAGTTGTGCCATATACTTCAACTATCGAACAAGAAAAAACAATTTATTGCATAAAGAATAAGGGAAGACCGGAAAGATCAAATTATGAATGATTAATCGTCATCATCAACAAGCAAAAAAAGACATCACAAAAAAACTAGTCACCATTTTCCCTTTTTTTTTTTTTTTTCTTCTATCGTTTCCTCTAACCGAAAGAATCCATCTCACCTAATTGAATTCATCGTGCACATGATTATTCATATCAATAAAAAACAATAAGAGTTAGAAAGAGAGATGAACGGTGCGTTATATACATGAATGCCTATAGTAAATCTAGCATTTAACAATCTCTTTTTACTATTTCTTTTATTGGATATGTCCTTGCAATTATTAGTAATGAATATATATATATATATATATAAAGGCTAATAGTAACTTGCGATTTCTGATTCTTTCAAGTGGTACGCAAAACTCAAGATGGTGCACAGAGAGAGAGAGACATGGTTAGTTCGAATTTTTCAAAATAAGAATTCTAATAAATAAGATTTCATAATAATAATCATTGAAAAAAAGTACAAACGAATTTTTTGTTTTTTTTGTAATATTTAGCGCTTGTATTTTATTATCATATCTAATTTTTAATTAATATAATCTTCTCTATTTTTCTATTCTCTATTATATGATGGACATTATTTCCATCAATAAAAAACAAAATAATGGTAGTAGTATTAAACGTGTTCATTCAATGACAACACAGAATATTTCAAAATATACTAAAAAATTAATAAATATTGATAATAAAATAAATGTACATGATTATTTTTTACATGAACGACCATTTACTAATATAAAAATAATATTTAATCAACAAATTATATGGTGTGATAAAGCTTTATTATCAGCAGCTTCACCAATATTTCGTGAATTATTTATAAAAAATCATAAAGATGAATCAATATTATTTAATGATATTGATTTAAATGATTTTTTATTAATGCTTGAATTTATTTATCCAATATTTAATCCTGAAATAAATGAAAAAAATATATCATGTCTTATTAATCTTTCATATCGATTTCAATATGGTTAGTATAGTTGAATAAATAATAATACGTGTATTGTTTTTTATTTTTTTTTTTTTGTTAATAAAAATTCTTTTAGACATGTTAAAACATGCCTGTCAAATATATGTTATGAAATATTTGAGCACAATTCGACGTGTATTTAATAGTACCCATAATTCAGAAGAGGAAGGCGATTGTTTTGTCAGTAATAATAATGGTAAAAATGAACATAATAAACAACATGTTCTAATGTGAGTGTATTTTAACTTCGACATTTCAAAAATATATATTTCATTAATGATCAATGAGAAAATATTATATATTGAAATTATATCTAGAGGAAAAAAAAAGGAATTTATTATTAATTGGAAAATTTTCTTTGTAATGTTTAATAGTATCAGTCAATACATTTTGTTGATTTGAGTAAATATATTGTTGAGATTTTGCAAGCGCGAAAGTAAAAGATAGATTTAAGCTTGACTTTATCTCTTGATGGAATATATCAATTTGTATAGTAAATATAATAGAACAAAGACTCCAGTCAAAAGTTGTCTGTATTTATAGTTCGCTCGATAGTAATTTGTATGATCTAAAAGTCTATGCATCAAAATTATAGTTCGTTTTCTTCATGAATATAACTTCAAAAGTATTGTTTCAATGTTTTCTTTGAGATATCAAAACCAAAGATTGAAAATTCAAATAGTCTTTCTTGTCAAACGTACTATTTTAGTTAGGTATGTGTAGTATTTGTGTCAATACTGAATAGTGAGTTACCAGATGCAGAATCCATTGCAGTACTGACATTCACATTTACTGCAATATTGAGACATTAACTCTATTAAAATATGTCCTCTTTATTGGAGTGCATTCTAATGGTTCAATGAACACTAACTAGACTGAATCGGTGATCAGTAAAGTGAAATTGCACATTACTAATTTCTTTTTATCGTTTATCGTTTTTATAATTTTTTGAATGTTAAAAAAAAAATCTTCAACTGACATCAAGAACAAAAAAATAAAAATAAAAATTCTCATTGTCAGGAATCTTTGAAACATTTGATAATTTTAATATCACCGGTATTCTCTAAGTATGAAAAATCTCGATTATAAATAATTATACAGTGGCTACCAAAATTATTCGACAATCAGGAAAATAATTTTTTCATTGCTCATATTTTGGAAATTAGATGAGTTGAAATAATTTAAATTCTATTTTATGATACCCCATGACTAGTAGTATTTGATACAAAAAATCTAAGATCAATCTAGCAATCTATAGGGAATTCATATGAATTCCCTATAGATTGCTAGATCAATCTGAGATTTTGTTGTATCAAATACTACTAGTCATGGGGTATCATAAAATACAATTTAAATTATTTTAACTCATCTAATTTCCAAAATATGAACAATGAAAAAATGATTTTCCTGCTTGTCGGATAATTTCGGTAGCCACTGTATATCTTAACTATATGAACTTTTTCATTTTCTATTTTGTCTGTAAACAAACAATTATCTTATTTATATAGTGAATTTCATAATCGAACATGTGTTGATGCTTTTCATATAATAATCAATCTATGTCGATGGTTAAAAACATACTATTACAACGATAATATGCTTCCCACACACACAAGTAAATAAATACAATCAAATATTTATTTCATTGATGATTATTTTCTTGTCTTAGTCATTTCCGTTCTACAACAAATATCAGTCGATTATCTTGAACAAGCTCTAACTACAGTTGACATTAATGATGAAATAAAAGCTTATATTTATAAAGAACGAGCTCAATATCTTGAACAAATATATCATATTAAACATATTGAATGATAAATTCTATATAATAAAACATTTGACATTGAATTTTTCGTTATGTTAAATAGTAGATTTTAAGTTATCGAATAGAATTGATTTATCAAATGTTTTAATAACAGGAAAAAGAAACAGAATTTCCGTTTTTTTTGTTCTCAATAACGGATCACAAGTTCTTTCCTTTTCCGGTTTTTTTTATTACTATCAACAAAAGGAACAAGAAAAGAAGGTACTGGTAATGCTGTTTATTTCGATGTTATATTTAATCATGAGAAAAGAAAAAAACGAGTTAATTTACACAATACAAAAAAAAGATACACACACACATACATAGGAAAAAAACGATCTATTATTAATAGATCAATATGATGTTGTCACTGAAATATAATATTCATAAACTATTTCCGATTATTTATTTTATTCAATAATAAAAAAATAAAATAATATTTCTATTTATAGAAACTTGTAAAATAAAATCTCAGAGGGCAAGACTACAACAACAACAAAAAAAATACACTTATAAACAGATATCACAAGGAAAAAAAAATGAAATTATATTAAGCAAATTCTGAATAAATATCATCATTATTAATTGGTTGATAACTTCGTTTAAAACAATTTTTATATTGACATATCCAATTTGATATTTTTTCATCAGAAATTTTTGAACAAAATGATAAATCAAGAAATTCTATATATAAACAATTCTTAAGTATACATTCCATAGCTTCTTCTTGTATTATATTCGAACCAAGTACATCAAGTTGACGTAATTGAAGACAATTTTCACTTATCGCTATTATATCTTCATTACTTACACCTAATTTATAAACAAACAAAAAAAAAAATGATTATCTTACCTAGAGCTTTTTTTGTTTTTGTTTTTTACTTACGTCTACAAGCAGTTAGAAATATTTTAATTAAAGAATGACCAACTTGTTGAACAAAATTTTGTATAAAACCTGCTGGTGGATCAGTCCATCCAATATCAATTTCTCTTAAATAAGTCATATGTATGATTGAATTTATTTCAATTGGCAAATTAACTAAAGAATAAATAATTGCTAATTCTTCTTGTTCATTTATTGATAAATTTGAAAATCGTCGTTCTTCTTCTTGAATATCATGTGATAAACCAATAATTGATAAATAACAATTTGATGTTAAATTAGATGCACGCCAAAGATCAATTGAACGAAGATTAATACAACGAGCAAATATTAATTTAACAATACCAATAGTATCAATTAAATTTTGACAACTACCTGAAATAAATATATTTTTCTTAACTATTTAAACTAATAAACAGAGAGAACTACTTCAAGTGTAACTATTCACCATATTGAACCTACAAAGAGGTTTCGGTAAGATTAATCTTTACTAGAGAATAGAAGCCCACTGAGTTTCTATTCTGAAGGGAGAGAAGTTTAGAAAAAGCCTAAAAGGATTCTTCCCCATAGACTTTTGAAACTAAGAAATAACCCTTGGACTACTTTGTGGATGTGGGTCGTCTCTTCAACCATGTTAGTGCACTCACACCCAGAAGCTTTAGCTATTGTGTAACTTTCAGACCTTTTCGTCGTGTCTATCCGAAGATACAACTATAACAAGAATGTAATTTTTACATTACTCAAATATACCACAAAGGCCTGAAAGTTTCACAATAAATTATTCTCGTCAAGCTCGTTCTTTGTACAAAGGTTCAATGCGAAATTCAGTTTTCCTGATGTCATCATCACATTTTGCTAAAAAGAACACCGTAAAAATTCAGATAGTCTTGACTTAACTCTTTATCTTCCATAGTGGTTCTAGCATATCTTGATAAAGCAATCAAGGCAAACATAATATAGGTCGTCCTGGCATGTCTATAGTATGGGCAAATGGGCTTACAACATGCCTCTTGTCTGGGTTACAATACGCAGTACAAATGATGTTGATAAAAGTATTGAAACTTCATGTTTTTTGAATTTTCGCACCATTGCTACACCTGGTCATTCCATTTCCCTATGGGGCGTCAAGGGTTAAATTCCTATAGGACTCTTCTCATTTGAAATTTCTCTATTATATTGTTCAATTCGAAAAGTAAAGAATTGCAACTTAAAGTTATGTTTTTTTTTTTTAAATCTTACCTAAATTAATATCTTCTAAATGTTCTTTATTATTATCGATTAATGGTAATAATGTTCGATAATCAATTTTTGTTCGATAAACATTTAATGAACGAATATGATGAAGATTTTTTAATGGTATAAAATCCAGATTAGTTAAATATGAACAATTTTCTAAATTTAATATTTCTATATTTTTACAATAATTAACAATTATTTGTATATATTCTCCTGTTAAATATTGACAACAAGCAAGATTAAGTTGTATAAGTTTATTTGAACATATATTTAATAATTGATTAAATGATGAATATTGTATTGATTTTGTCCATGATAATGAAAGATATTTTGTTTGAATACAATGTTCTAAAAAAAAATTTTCAATTGTATCATTTGTTATACCATTCCAATAAGGTTGTAAATTAAGAGAATGAAATTGTAATGGATGAAGACATTGTTGACGTAAATAACGACATGTTGATGAAAATTGTATTAAAGAATATAAATCAAGATAAGAACATATTAAAAAAAGTAAATCAAATGGAAGTTTTATTAAATTATTTTCAAAATAATTTAATTCAAAATTTTCTTCTTGTTTGGAAATAATTTGCTAAAAACAAAATAAAAGAATAAATTTATTTTTTATAACTTTAATTAATTTTACTAACTTTTGGTAATGATTGATTAAAATTTGAAATTTGACCACATAATGTAATTGTATCAATTTCTATATAATAATTAGCTGTACAATGATCAAATTCTAGACGAATATGTCGTGTTGGAAATGAAACTTTATCTATTAAAGGAATTTTAAGAATACGTGGAAAACGTGCTGCAGGTGGATATGTATGATGTGTATAAATTTTTGATATCTGTTCATGATCAGTATTTAAATGTAATGATTGAAGTGCTGATGTTGCAGTATTAACATGATTCGGAAATAAATCATTCATTTGTTGACGACCTGAAATATTTAATAAAGTATATGATTGCAATAAAATATTCAAAGATGATGCGAATTTTCTATATAGTGTAAGTATCAAAATTATTTACCACGGTTAATTTTCAGTTTTTTTATTCCATTGTCATAACAAAAATTATTATCACGTAATCAAAGATACAGCTTCAGAAAACCAAAATCCTACTTTTTCAATACCTAGAGCGTGTAAATATAATTTTGTTTAGATTACATAGGACGATTCTCTTTAAAAAAAAAAGACATTTTCAAGTTTTCTGTAATGCTGTATCTCAACTGAAAAATATTGTAGAGAACTCGAAGATATCCCATTTTGTAGACAATTCTTTACTCTATCGTTCTATATAGTCTAAATAAAGCTATATTTACATGTTCTAAATACCAAAAAACTAGCTTTTTGGTTTGCTGAAGTCTCTATCTTTGCAAATCTGATAATAATTCTTATTTCGTTATATTCTTGTTTTTACTAGAAATGAATGATAATAAGTGAGTTTGGTTTTTTTCTCATGCTGTGGTTTATCCTTGAATGCTGGACAAATCGGATATTTGAGAAAAGTATATACGCATGTGCTTATTACAGATTAGATGTCAATAGCATTGACTGTAAGTCAATGAACTGATCTCATGTCATAAATGTGTTATTTTCAGTTGATAGAATATTTGCTTTTGTAACCTTCAGACAAACATAATTAATTATAAGAAAATAGTATTAAAAATAGGCACGAACTGAATCAGAACATTTGAGTTCGGTCTTGAATGCAATCATTTACAGTTAATTAATAAAACTAGGGGGTAGAAGTAAACGAAAAGAAAGCCTTTCACTGTTGGCTATGATAGGTCTACCAACAGTGAGATCAATGGCTTAAAACCTGAAAGACAGCAGGTTTTCTAAATTCGAACCGAAATTCAGATTTGCTGCATGTCTAGTATTGAAATTTTTAATCTGTTTATTTAACTAGGAAGATCACTTAGTGTTGGCTAGTGACCGATATCTTCCGTATAACTAATACTAACTGTAGTTTTGGACAGAAGGCCGGTCTAACGAAGAGTTATTTTTTCGCTTAATTGCTCGAGCTTCGCATACATAAAAACTATCCGGAAGAGCAAGTGTTTGTCACAACGTAATCCACATGCTATCAGACGGGTGACGCGACCCAAAAATAGTCGTTCATGCCTTGTCTAAGGTCATCTCATGGCTGATGGTGTTGAAGTTTAAATATAGTACCTTGTGGATACGTATCGAACAACATAGTCATTCAACCATGGCAGTACTGATATAACTCTATCTTAATTATGAGTATCTAAAAACTCAAATTTGATTTTGATGAGAAAAGAAAAACTTGCAAAGTTATCCAGAAAAAAAAACGACAAGAATGAAATTTCTTGGTGTTTTATTAACCATTTCAAAAAGAAACAAAATAACGAATATTAATTTAGAAATTCTTACCATTCTCAATAAAAATTTCTTGATTATTTCTTAAAGTAATACTAAATGATTCAGGAAATTTCCATACACGATGCCATATTATATTTCCATTATTATTATTTTCTTCTCCAACATAAACAACTTCAAGTGAACCGGGATTATATGTTTCATATATATTTAAACTTATACATGGATAAACTAAATTTGAATATTCAATATCAATAAAATCTCGACTAGTAAATTCATTCTCCCAACGTTTAAAATTTTTTTTTGTTTTTTTATATGATGGCATATTTATCCACCATGGACCATATGTACGAAAAACTAATGCTTGACTTGAATCTCCATATAATGGATAAATTTCTGGACGTTTACATATATTTCCAACGGCATAACTTCGAGCACTATTTGATCCATATTGAGATGAAAAATCACGAAGATTTGATGGATATTGTTCTACTATTGATTCAATTAAATCATTCGATTTATTCATATCTAAATATCAATA